CAACGTAATTTTCAGAATGCCTGTTAAAAGGTTTAGATTCGATTTTTCTCTACTTTGATAAAAAATGGAATTTTTTTTTATTTTCATTTATTTATTTGATTTATTATCCCGTATAATGTCTTTTTGATTAACATCGGTCACTTTGTACAATAGTACAAATAAATACCTACATATCAAATTAGAAAAGCTTTTTTGGAATGCCTAAAGTTTTAAAATAAATATCAATTTCCAAATACAAAAAATAAGATAATCAATGAAAGACGTAACAATCTATACCTACGAGGGGTAAAATAAAATGAATTATAATTTAAACTAGGTAAGACATTAACCTTCTTAGTGAAAAATGGACAAGCCTTAATATATTCCTCCCTTAACTTATATTCACCAAAATGCTTCTCATCCCAGGTCTACGATGTCAGCGCCATCAAGGTGAAGAATGTGAGCAGTGGCACAGTGGGCAAGGCAGTCACCTTCCTGGTGGAGACATCCCAGGCGGGACCCGGAAACTTGGAGGTGACCGTCAACGGCGGCAGGGTACCGACCTCCGCCCAGGCTCAGGGTCAGCACACCTACGCGATCAGCTTCACACCGCGCGAGGCTGAGAGTCACACGGTGGAGCTGCGCTTCAATAGCCAAGATGTTCCGGGCTCCCCGTTCACATGCCGCGTGGCAGCAGCCGCCCGCATTCAGTCCCCCGAAACGATGGACAAGGTCAGCGTGGGTCGGCTGTTTGAGTTCGTGGTGGAGTCGGACACCAAGCCCACTGTCGAGGTACTGGGCCCGGCCAGACGAAGTGTGCCCGTCAAGATCGACCCCTTGGGTTCGGCCACCCTGGGCTACAACGTCAAGTTCGAGCCCATGGAGGTGGGCGACCACTCGGTGGAGGTTCGTCTGCCCGGCGGTGGCCACGTGGAGGGCAGCCCCTTCCTGCTGAAGGCCTACTCCGCCGAGAAGGTCATCGTCACCGACATCCGTGCCGGCGTGGTCAACAAGAGTGTTAGTTTTGGGATCAATGCCTCGCAGGCGGGAGCCGGCAACCTGGAGATCATAGTGGCCGTTAACGGCAAGAACGTGCCGAACTTTGTCCAATCCGAGGGCAATGCCCGGTTCAAGGTGAACTTTAAGCCCACGGAGGCGGCCACCCACTCGCTGTCGGTGCGATTCAATGGACATCCGGTGCCGGGCTCGCCATTCAGCTGTCACATCGCCGCTGCAGCGGCTTCTCCCTCGATGGGACGACTACCCAGGGCCATGGCCATGGGTGAGTGCCTGAAGCAAGCGGCCGTCAAAATGGACAACACCTTCGAACTGGAGGGCTTCGAGGGCGTGGAGCCGCAGATATTTGTGACCTCGCCGTCGGGCGATAACGAGCACTGCCAGTTGAGTCAGCACGATGGAGGCAGTTACTCGGCCTCGTTTCGCCCAACCACCGTGGGTCGTCACCTGATCAGCGTGACTGCCAATGATCAGCACATCAACGGATCCCCCTTTAGTTGCAATGTCTTCGATGTCTCGAGGGTGAGCATCAGTGGCCTGGAGCAGCAGTACGGACCGGCCAACCTGGGTGTCCCCGTGACCTTCAGTGTGGACGCGGCGGGAGCTGGCGAAGGAACCCTCGAGCTGGTCGTCTCCACGGACAGCAGCACCGTCAAGGCCGAGGTGGTGGCCTGTGCCCGCGGCCTCTACGATGTGACCTTTGTGCCCCAGAGCACCGAACCGCACTACGTGAACATCACCTTCAACGAGGTGGCCGTGGACGGAAGTCCATTCCGCGTGGACATCCAGCAGCACACGCAGCACATTCAGATTGGCAGCTTAGCAGCCATTGATTTCCCAGCCGATGATCAGATCGTTGAGATCTTCTCGCCGGATCAGAAGTCGGTGCCGTATTCGATCAACAGGCAGACGGCGGAGTTCCGGACCCACATGACCGGGAACTACACGTTGCGGTTTATAGATCGCGAGACCCGTCAGCACATTGGATCGCGCACCCTGTGCGTCTTTGATCCCACCCTGGTGAAGATCACCGAGGTGAGTGAGGCCTTCTGCCACCGGCCTGCCAGCATCGGGGTGTCCCTGAACGAAGCGGGTCAGGGAGATCTTTCGGCTTTGGTGCGTTGTGGAGCCACCGAAGTGCCGCACACCATCCGCGGACCCAGCAAGAACGGAGTCTACGAGATTGTTTACCAGCCCACGCGTGTGGCTCCCCACAAGATCAGCATCCTGTTCAACGAAGTGCCCATCTCGCTGAAGCCCCTGGAGATCGGTGTTCTGCCCGCGAGTGCCGGCAAGGAGATCAGCGTCAGTGGACTGGGATTGTATCAGTCGCGAGTGGGCAAGACCACGTCGTTTGCCATTGACACGGTGAAGAGGCCGGCCAGGGAGTTCGATGTGGTGGTGTCGGGACCAGGTGGTCAGGCTCTGCCAGTGCGATGCTATCAGACGAAGAACGGACATTTGCAGGCGGAGTTTACCATCAACAAGCCGGGACAGTGTGTGATTGGTGAGTAATACTCAGGGATATTCCAGTTCATCTATCTAATCTGTATATTTCAACAGAGGTGCTGCACCAATCGAAGCCCCTGCCGGGTAGTCCCTTCACCTGCGAGTCCTTCGACAGCAGCAAGGTTACCACCCAGGGGGTCACCAAGGAACCGCTGGCCCTTCACAGTCCCAACAGTTTCACCGTTCGCACGGACAATGCCGGAACCGCCGAACTGGAGGCCTTTGCCATATCGCCCAGCAATCAGAGCCTTCCCGTTTTGATAGCCGAGCAGTCGGAGGGCGTCTACAACGTGGAGTTTGTGCCCTCGCAGCCGGGCAATTACAAGTTGACCCTGATGTACGGCGGAGAGACGATTCCCAGCTCGCCGCTTAACTTCACCGCCTCCTCCAGCGGCGTAAGGAACGACGCCCGGGCCGCTGGCCATGGACTGGAGGTGTGCCACCGGAACAAGGAGGCCTCCTTCGTGGTCTACTGCCCCATTGCGCCGAATGTCCAGATCGAGCGACTGGACGAGTATGGCGAGCGGATAGAGCCCAAGATCAAGGCGCTGGGCAACAACGAGTGGCGCATCTCGTACACCATTCTCTCCGTGGGCAAGTACGAGATCCGAGCCAGCTGTCCGAACAGGGGAAGCTTTCCGGGATCTCCGTGGCACATCAGCTGCGTGGAGTCCAACAAGGTCACGCCCGTGGGTGGCTGGGGCACTTTGGTGGATCACGATGGCCGTTTGATTCTGCCCGCCCGCATCATCTTCGATGTGGAGAATGCGGGTCCGGGTAAGCTGGTCTGCAGCATCGATGGCATCGAAATACCGGTGGACAAAATGGTAGACGGCAAGATGTGCCTGAACATCACGGGCGAGAATCTGGCTGCCGGCGAACATGATTTGGACCTGACTTGGAGCGGTCTGACCATCACCCAGTGCCCGAGGAGTGCCTTTGTGACGGGTCAACAGGCGGCGGATAAGGTGCAGCTCATGGGTCGTGGTTTGGCTGCAGCTCAGGCTGGAGAGGCGGCTCACTTCACCATCGACGCCTCGAATGCGCCGGCCGGCAGACCCGAGGTGATCCTCACCAGCCAGGACAACACTTCGCTGCCAGTGAGCCTGTCGCAGCCGAGGCCCTCGGAGAACATCTGGATGGCCTCTTACACTCCCCTGAAATCCACAACCGGCACTCTAAATCTGTCCGTCAAGTGGAACGGTCGCTTGGTCAAGGGATGTCCGTTGACGGTGGCCGTTGGCTCCTCGATGGATGCCTCGAAGGTCATAGCCTCCGGCGAGGGACTGCGTCATGGGATAGTCGGCAAGGACATCAAGTCCTGGATAGACACCAGGAGAGCAGGACCCGGCGAACTGACCGCCCACTGCGCCGGCGTACGCAAGGTGGCCTATTGCGAGCTGTACGACCATGGCGATGCCACATTCACCCTGAACATTAAGCCTCAGGAACCGGGTCGTCACCTGTTGACCATTAAATATGGTGGACAAAATGTGCCGGGTTCTCCGTTCGCACTGAAAGTGGCCGGAGCACCGGATGCCAGTAAAGTGGGTTGACATCATAATCTCTTTAGAAATGATTCCTTTACCATAAATCCTATTTTATCCCTAGGTCCGCGTCTATGGTCCTGGTATCGAGCATGGCGTGTTGGCCACCTTCCAGTCGCGCTTCATCTGCGACACTCGAGGTGCTGGAGCTGGTCAGTTGACCGTTCGGGTTCGGGGACCCAAAGGAGCTTTCCGCGTGGAGATGCAGCGAGAGAGTCAGAAGGATCGCACCATACTCTGCAAAGTGAGTTCTAAAAGTATAGCATTTGAATTACCGCTTACCATATCATATAATTTCCAGTACGATCCAACCGAACCGGGCGACTATCGCGTCGAGGTGAAATGGGCTGGAGAATTTGTGCCCGGATCGCCCTTCCCGGTCATGATCTTCGACACCGAGGAGGAGTTACGAAGGTACTTGCAGGGCATATGAGGCCAGCTCAACCACCATGTCATCGTCTTCCCCAGTGGCCTCAGCCCCCTGTCCATTAGCCGTGATCAAACGCGGCGACGAGCCCCAACTTGTTCGCCTCTCTAGCCGGAGAGGAGGTCTGGAAATCCAACCCCCTGTAGTATATATAATTAAGCTAACCACGAGACCTAAAGCGTAAAATGTTATACTAATCGAAACTAGCTAACTTAAACACAGAATGAGCCGAATAACTAAATCTCTAGGTTAATCCCAAACGAAAGCTTCCGCTTTTGACTATTTATAGTTTTAATATGTTGAGCAATGTAAAAACTTGCAATTGGTTTAATTATTTAGCATTGTATGCAATACAGAAATACACCATTAATTAAATACCTGAGTTCATTTTATTATTTTGGGCATTTGAATTTATTGTCAATTATCCAGTCTAAACTCTAAACTCTCCAGATCTTAATTTTATTTTGTATTAAAAACACATATTGGAATATTGAAGTATGGAAAAACTGAAGAGAACCAAATCATAGATTGAAAACACCCCAGTCCTCTGGCAAAGCAAACTCATGGGTGAAATCCTTGCGATACGTTCGTACAAAATCGATTACATTTTCCTCCAGCCTCTGCCGCTGGGTGGTTTCCAAACTGCTCCTGGCGTTATTAGCATCCTTGTTGTTCATCAGCAGCATGGCCAGCAGGAGTCGGCGGTTCTTCAGCTGCAGATCCTCGAATCTATCGTGCATCAGGAGCTCTGTCCACGGTTGTTGAAAGAAGTCCAAGAAGTTGCTTATCCAGCCGGACTGAAAACGACCACGCAAATCATTGAGCAGCATAGCGTGCTTGCCGCAAAAGTACTCCATGAAGTAAAGTCGTTTCGGCTGAGGAATCATTCAAATTATTTGACTATCCAAATAACCGAAATAACATCATACCTTTTTGGTGACGCAGACAATCTCGATGACAATCAATTTTCTGTTGAGTCGTATGCGGCAGAAATCTCCATTCTCGTAGGTAGTCATGCTATCCGAAAAATCGATGGGAAGTTGACCTATAAGCAGGGACTTTGGTTGAGTGAACTTGGTGATCTGATAGCCCATTGGCAGAATGCCCGTGAACATAAATGGCCTCGAGTACCGCGACTGCATCACAATCTTAATCATATTCAATTCGTAAGCAATCTAAGGAGCCAAAGAACTAAAAGCTGTTGATAGAAAATCTATAGATGGACTCACCTTTTCGGCCATTTCTTGCGGACTGGTAAAGGAGTACTGGAAGTTGGGCTGGGGCAACATGACGATATACCTACCTCCGGCAAATATGTTGCGATCATTGGTGGCATAACGTGCGTTAACCACAATCTTCCGGTCACGCATCTCAATTCCTGCTTCAGAAAGAACTGAAAAAGGCCGAGGAATATACATTTAATGAATACAACTATTTTTGTATGCCTCTCACCAGTTTCCAACGCCGTACTTAAGGAATTGCAATTGTAGTTGATGAAGAGATCGCAATCCAATATGATCTTTTTCCTACTTGGATGCACCGCAAACTCCACTTGCTCGATGTACATATTGTCTTGGCTCAGAATAAATTGGCTGTAGTTGGTGGACAAGTGAATCGTGATACCCAGATCGGCTACCATTTCCAGGATGATCGGATCCAGGCGAGAGTCCACTTCAGGATTGCCCAGCTCCTCCATAACCCTCGGCACGTGGGGCTGCACATATGTGATGTTCTGGGCAGTGCAGCCATGTGTGACCAAAAAGTGAAGGCACTCGTAGAGGGCCAAATGATAGCCATAGACTATAATGTTGTAGTGTTCCATTGACTCGATCATGTCCCGCACCTTGTGATAGAAAATAATCCTGTCCAGGCGATGGTTGTTGACTATATAGTTTATGGGCATTGGAAACCCCTTGAATTCCTTGTCCTGAAAGCCGAACCTTGTGGCAGCAAACAGGACAAGCTTCTCGTAGTACAGACTGCAGCCGTCCGTTAGCTCCAGCAACCTTGCCTGTCTGGAAATTACAATAAAAGAAAATCACTATGTTTTCAAACTAATCTTTTTTGTCATATTAGACCATACTCTTATAAAAAAAATAAAAAAAACGCGAATTCTTCAGAGGAGAGTGGGTAAAATCGAATATAAATAACTACGTTCTTTAAGCTCCAGGAGTCACTCACCTATTTATACTTTTAAGAGTTCCAGGAACAAATCGCACCCAATGCCTCACATCCATTCGCTGCATTACATCCCTAACAAAGGGGTTTACGTTTCCGGTGTCCACATAGCAGTTTCTACCATTCGCGCAGTAGCTGCAGGAAAATTCACAATCGTATGCCGATTCCAGAACTCCGTGACCCACCACCACTGTGACGTCCACCATGGGCAGGCAGTTGTACTTTTTGTAATTAACCATACTGATGGGGATATGATGGGAAAAGGTATTTAATATAAAGGTATAAATCTTACTCTTGAGAATTCCAGGCGAAGATGATGGTCCGCAAAAAGGCGAGGCAAGTGTGCGACAAGCCCACGATGACCAGGGAATTCTTTACACCCATGTGCATGGTGGGCTGCAGGTTGTGGCAAAAGAGACGCAGTCTACTTCTGCAAATATCCATATTGGAAACGCGGGAAGCCTTTGATACCCGTCGCTGGGGCGAGAAGCACTTGTAATTGAAGAGGTTCTTCTTCATGCGGCGCGGTTCCACTGGCATCATGTTGTACATCAGATCGTTGGGCAGCGAGATTCCCTACAAATCGGAAGACAACTTTTGAAATACATCAAACTTTTGAAGAGGCAGCAGAACAAACATTGTAGTAGTGTATGTAATATAGTTCACGGTAGTTATCGTACAAGGCCACCGTGCGAAGGATGGGATTGCACCACATCTGGAAGAAGGGGTGTAGCCTAAACATCACAATCTCTCCACGATTGTGCGTCAGCGAGAACTGATCGCGTGGCATCATAAGCACCTTGCTTAGGTCATCATATATCAAAAAGGGACTAAAGGTGTCATATAGATTAGTTAGATATATTAAGTAAGTACCATTGCTAGACCCACCATAGAATCAGAAAGCCCACCAATGGGCAGTCGGTGTGCTTCTTGGATTGACCACAGCGAATGGTGAAGCAGGTGAAATCAGTCATAGGTTTCTCGAGGATTTCCTCAATGATATCATCGAAAATGCCCAGAACCTCCTGTGTATAATCGTCGAGTCGATTTCCAGCACTTGGCTCATCATCTAAATAGGTGTCTCTTTTGCGGGTCTGCGAGCTTATCATGGTTCTGATCTCATCAATCTCCTGTCTCTCGAAGCGCTGCACACGGAGCTCCCCGAACAAAGTACTTCGATGGGCAACGAACATATTTTCAGACACGGAGCTACTTGGACGATGAGAAACAGGCTGGAGAATAGGATAGGAATTTCCAGTATAGGTTTTTGAAACTACGCCCTTTTCCACTCACCAAAAAGAACCGCAGCAGTTCCCGCTGGCAAGGACTCGTAGACACGGTGGCCGGCACCATGGTCACACAGTAATCGTGATCCGGAAAGGCACTGAACATGGCCGACAAGGAGTAGAATGTGTACTCAAAGCGCACCAGTGGATGCAACTGGAACATCTTGAGCAGGAATCCATTGGACGCCTTTCCCAGGTACTGCAATCGATTTTCGCTGTGCGAATGCTCGCCAGGTGGCAAATCGAAAGCGATCTCCAGCTTGTCTTGATGGGCTTTCAAGTAGTAGTGAGCCTTACGGAGTTCTAATTTTTTGTGATTTTTTTAACAATTATTAATGCTAGTTCTTGCCATTACTCACCATCATAGATATGCTTATACTTTCTGAATAAAACATTCTTTGCTTCATCTTCTCCAGCTTGGTTTATCTTACTCCCTTGTGTTTTGCATATTGCATCCATTTGCGACTTGGTGTACAGCTCCTTGTACGACTTTTGCTCCACTGAGCTATACAAATAAAGCTTTTAAAATAATACCCTTGTTCTTTTATCTTAATAACTAACAGCACATCCAAATGCACACGAGCGTGCTTTACACCCGGTGTGTATCGCGCCAAATTGCCCAGGCGTTCCAGGTGAAAGTTTGTGGCCAGCTTTTCGATATCTATTGAATCCGATAGCCACATTAAGCCGGCACCCTTGACGTTATCCGCAATCTCCTCCTCAAACTCGGCTATTATAATTTTGTCCTTGTCATCAGACCCTTCCTGATTCAGCAGATGCTCGGCAATGTAGAAGTCACCGTGCTTTCTCCGCAGTTCCGGATCCTCGGAATCTATCATCTCGACAATATCGTCATTGTCCTCGGGTCTGTGAAGAAAGAGAAGTGGAGCTTGGATAAAGATTCCTGGAACCAACTCACAGCGCTTTGCGAAAGTTGATAACTGGCATGATATTCAGGCGAAGGATCACGATGACAGCGGGCAGATGCCTTTGCTCGCTGACTTTGGAGTACTTTGGGTAATAGGTCTTTCCAAAAGCCTGAATGGCATCATACTCCCCTGATGGGCAATCCGGGGCTTGACCACCAGTATGTAGTTGACCAAGTGCTCGTTGTAAAAGACCTCCAAGAGGATATTTTTGAGAATATTTGGCTGGCCCTCCTTGCAGATGAAGAAGTTGAAAAATATGGAATTGAGCAGCGTGATGGGAAGATCTAGGCTTTTTTGGGGAGTTGCATCATCTAGTCTCATTAAGATACTCGTAATCTACCTACCAAAACCTCGCACTTAGCCAGTGGAGCCAGAGATCGTTGCTTAGCACCGGAATATTTGGATGGTTAGCGAATTCGCTGTAGGCCAGCAATAGATGAAACTCCTGTTTGTTGTAGACCAACAGACGTTGCGCCTGATTCCTGAAGAACAACGTTTCCAGCGGCGGCGTGGCCTTCGCCCCAAAGTGCCAAGTGTTTTTGGCCTCATAGAGATCCTCTATGCGTCGCAGATCCCGAAATCCCGCTGTGACAATTAAAATATTATCTTGAGGGCTGGGCATTGTTAAACAAATTTAGTTGAACGTGTATTTGAGTTGGAGCACTACTGCACAAGGAAATCGGAAAGTACAGAAACGGACTGCTTTGCTTCGGAAAACTAAGTGTCTGTCGAGTCTGAAGACGCATCATTCTCTTCATCCTCCTCCGTCTCCACAAAACGTTCCAAGTCGAGCACATCCAATTTAAGAAAATCCTCGGGAAGGGCAAATGGATGGCGAAAGTCCCGTCGATGCTCCCGGAGGAAAGAGAGGAGCTTGAGCTCCAAGTAGCGCTTGTTGAGCGTGTAGAAATCCATATCGGTTACATCCCCCAAAGCTCCACGATCAGCTCGCTGAAAGGAAACGAAGAAATATGGTACAAGTTTGGTCATTAACCCACTGATGAACAAAACCCACCGATAGCGCGGAAGTGGCCATGGGACTAAGCATTTCTTTATTCTCCGCCTGAAGGTCCTGGAAGCTCTCATGCATGATCAACTGAGTCCAGGGCTCTTGAAAATACTTTAGAAAATTGTGAATCGTGTGGGCCTTGTAGCGCGACTTGAGTTTGTTCAGAAGCAACTCGTGCTTGCCACAAAAGTGCAGCAGGAAGTCCAAATGGCACTCCATTTTAGTCACAACCACGATCTCCTCTACCAACATATGAGTGGATAATCCTACGCGGCAGAAGGTTTTATTCTTATACGTGGTCAAATTGCAATTGGCCATGACATTCAAATGCGATTGGAGATATCTCCGCGGCATGGTGATTTTTGTGATGAAGTATCGCATCGGGAGAATGGCCTGAAAGAGCAGAGGTTCCGAGAATCGATCCTCAAAATCTTTCTGGATGACAATGCCCAAATAGTGTAACATCTAAAGAGCAAAGGGATCAGACTTATTAGAATATTTGTAGGTCGTTCAGATGATGGCTACCTTACCTTACGGGCCAACTCCCGTTCACTGACAAACCTGTACTGGTAATTAGGCGTCCTTCGGATCTTGACAAATGTGCCCACTGCATAGATATCAGGATCGTTGGTCTGGTATTGCTCGTTTACCAGGATATCATTGCCATCCAGTTCGATGTTGGCAGCCCTTAGCCCTTAAGAAGATGTAATGAGAATTATATAAAGCTTAAAACCATCTCATAATATGTTCCATTTTCATTTTAGAGGTACTCACAGTGTTTGTGCCTATGGTGGAGGTGTCCCTCCTCGAAGGAGATGAAAAGGTCACATTCGAAAGTCGCCTGCCTTCGACTGGGAAAATGCTGAAATATCACCTCCATAATGAAGTCCGACGATTTGTGCAGGTTGTAGTGGTGAAAGTCGTAGTCCATAAAGATCGAGACGCCCTTATCCGCAAGGATATCGTCCAGGATGAGCTGAAGGTTTTTGTCCCAGTAGGGATTCTTTTCCTTCTCATCCGCCGCCTTGCCGGTGAAGCGATGAGGCTGGACAAAAATCATACGCGAGCAATCGACCCCGTGGCCAATCAAAAAGGCAATGCACTCATAGGTGTACAAATTGGCACCGTATACCAGGACCAAGTAGGTTCGTGGCATCTCCTCCAGGAGAGCCCGTACCTTGTAGAAGAGCAGGAACTTGTTCAGGCGGTAGTTGATCTCGACGAGGTTGCTGGGCAGGTGTGCGTTCATCGGCATTTCGGGAGAACGAAGTTCAAACATCCGGTCACACATCAGCATTAGGGTATCGTAGTGAATCTCGCAGGACTCGAGCTTCACGACCTTTTTCTCTCTGTGCATTGAAAGGTAATAGCTAATCGGTGGGTAATATAATATAGAGCTATCCTACCTATTAATCTGCTGCACCAAACCGGGCACAAAGTGCACCCAGTGCCGCAGGTCCATGCGCAAACAACAATCCCGTACAAAGCAGGATTGGTTCTGGTAGGAAAGATAGCATCCAAGAGAGCTTGTGCAATAGGGACATTTGAAAAGATTGTCGTATTCCGCCTCCACGATACCCGCCCTGCAAATAACGGTCACTTGAAGTCGACTCAAACAGGTGAAGTTCTCCGAGTTCTTGTGGCTGAGAAGAAGAAAGAATATTATTAAAAAGAACCAGAGTTTATAAAGAAAAGAAAGCAAAATCGATTTGGACCATTCATTAAAAAGTTATGAGCCCACTAAGTTGCGTGCCTGCAAGCAGTGCAAGCAGTTTTATTAGCAGTCAAACATAACTCACTCCCTGCTATTCCACTGGAACACTAGCTGTCGCAGAAAGGCCTTCGTCACTGCACTGAAACCGATTATGACCAGTTTCCTGCTGTTGGTGAACCACTTAACCGGATTCAGTTTGTGCCGGTAAATGATCAGATAGTCCTTGGAGAAATTGGGAACTGGCAGGTGCAACTGGCTCATCGGCTTCTTCAGATCCGCGCTGGCTTCGGAGTAAACCGGAGCCTTCTTAACGGGCTTCGGCTCTATAACCATCATCATTTTCTTCAGATCGTTGCTGTACTTATAACCCTGCAGATTATATTTTTCTGATATTTAGAACTAAATGCAACACCCAAATAGCTTACTTCAAAGGCACTGATAAAGTAAAAGTCGTAAAAGTTGGTCTTTCTGGCCAAATCCCTGAATATCAGATCGGCGCTGACCAAGAAGAGTGGATGCAATCGCAGAGATATGATCTCGGCCCGTCGTCCATTTAAGTGATTGTCGTGCCTGGGCAGGTGGTAGTGATCGAAGAGCTTGTCATGGCTGTGGAACTGTCGAAGCACCACAAACCCGATCGAAGTGTTCTCCTTGGCCGATCTCGTGGAGTTTCCACACCGGATCGTGAACATCGCGTACTCACTGAACTCGTTCTCCAGCACATCCTTCATTATTGCATCCAGCACATGAAGCTCATGATCCAACTCCGCCCGTTCGTTTACCTTGGAGCAGTACGAGAAGCTACTGGTGCTAGATTCGGGGGAATTCTCCTCACTTTTCAAGTTTCCCAGGGCCATTTTGTGCACCACGGAAACATCTTCCTTTGCCAGCTTGTACAGGCTAATCTCCCCAAAGATGGTACTCCGATGGGTTATGTACACATCGTCGAGGTCGCACACATTACTTGGTCGTGAGACCACTGGCTGGGGTAAATAAAAAAAATGATATAAATAAATAAATTAAATAAATAAAATAAATAATTAAATAAATAAAAAAGGATTTAATGAACCAGATGTAACTTATCTGTATAGAGTTTAGTATTATATTAAAGACTTTCAGTTAATAAAATATTTAACATTTTCAGTAGTGCAACCCAGTTTACCATAAAGTACTGCAACAATTCCATTAAGCTCTTGCTGGCCTTGTTCTTCGAGGTTATCAGCATCATGCAATAGTCCCTCTCCGGATAAGCGCAGAACATGGCTACCAATGCGTTGAAGAGGCGGGGCAGGGGAAAGTCCTGTCGGGCCACCAAACACTTCAGGATGAATACGTTGGAGGCCGCCTCCATGGCTGCCTGACCTGCAGGCTCCAGTCCGGCGGGATATATGAAGTTTATCACGTTGTGCTCGTGCCGCAAATAGTACTCGGGGCTGTGAAGTTCTAGGTGGAAATAATCTATGCAATGAGCCTTGGGCTTAGCTGTATAACTCACTCTCAAGGATGTACTTGAACTTGGAGTACAGGCATTCACGCATGTAAAACTTGTTTTCGCTCGCAGCGACCGTATCGTCAATTGTGCCACCAATGGAGCTTACCTTCAATTTACCCACGCTGGCCACGCTGTTGAAAAGAAAGATTATAGGATTACAGGATTTAAGTTCCTCCTCATTGAGGAGAAATGTGAAAGAAAATTAGTTTTTAGAGATTTTGTAAAAGTGTAAACGGCATTTGGATGTGTTTATTCATACCTATCGAAATGTAGAAGAAAATTTTAAAATCGGATTATTCATTAAAAAGTTATAAGCAAATAATGGAATGCAAGCAGTGCAAGCAGTCCTTTTACTGCTTTCTTAACTTTATCCTTTTAGCCTTAGCTTAGTAAGGGGTATCTGATAGTCGAGGTGTTCAACTATAGTGTTCTCTCTTTTTTCTGGCTTTCCAAACTGTTTAATATCTGGTTTGCTGTCTTCTTTGATAAAATTGTTATCCCACCTCATACCGCTGTCAACCTTCTGCAGTCCTCCCAAAATGGTCACGGCATCCAAGTCGTCCAGGGCATCTGTGGTGAACATGCTGGCCTCTGCTCTTCGCTGGACAGAGCTGCAGGATATATTTTCTGATAAGAAAGTATGTTCTCCTCTAACTTAATCGTAATAACTTACGACACCGTAATAGTCTCATAGTGGAACGACTGTCTATCGACGGGCTTCACCAGGTTGCCCAATTGCTCCACCTCGTAGTTACACACATAGAACATAATATCTATATCCGTGCTCAGCCACAGGAAGAGGGCCATCTCGGTCTCCTGGCACTGGTTGGTTGTCTCAGCCACAACGAGCAGGCTCTTCTTGGCATCGGCATCCTGTCGCATCACCTCCTCGGCAATATAGAATTCGCCCAGCTCCTCTCGCAGTTCGGGCATCTCGACTGATTGGAGTTCAATTATATCATCATTGTCCTCGGGGCTTTATTGAAGATTAAATTAAAGTTATTATATAAAATTAAAAAGCTTAGATACCATTTTTATGTAATTGTTTTTCAAAATTATAACACATCTTACAGTGCCTTTCGGTAAGAAATCCTCGGCAGTAGATCGAACCTTTGCACAATATATAATGACTGCGTGTTAGAGTTCTTATCCGTGCTAAACTCCTGAGGGTAAATCACCTGGGCTATTTTTTCCAAATCATCGTAACTCTCAACGAAATGGGAGGGTTGTCGCACATACGGAGGCCTTACTGCGATCAGATACCACACCCTGTTTTCCCTGTACAGCACCTCCTTCACGATTTCTACGAGAACCGCTGATGCCTCACTCTTGTAGATGCAAAAGTTGAAGAACAAAGCATTCAGCCAGCTGATAGACAATGTTAAGCTAATGGAATAAGATATTTATCTACCACATTATATATAGATCGTATTCATTAGATACCAGTATCTCACGCACAGCCACTCCAGCCAGCAATCCGTGGGCAGGGCGGTGATGGAGGGATAGTTCCGGAATTCGGCGTAGGCCACCAATTTAGAGGATTGCCTGCAGGTGGCCAACATCCTGTAGGTCTGATAGGAATGGAACAGGGTGTCCTTGCCCCGAAACTTGGGACGGATATTGCCGAACCACTTGACACCCGGCGATCGGATCAGCTTGTTAATCCCATCCAGGTCCGCCACTTCAGCCAGGCGAACATCAAAGTCATTCATCAGTGCGAGTACTTGGTGTATAATGTGTGATTAAAACAAAAAGACATACTGTGTTTGCATGCCTCATGTTTGCGATAAATCAACAGGGTAAATAAATCGCTTTACCACTTTTGATTTTATTTGAATTAACTATACATTAAGTAAGCCCTTTTTATAAAGGACTCTTTGTGGGCAGCGTTATTCCGTCAATTAGGTAGCACTTGGCTTTGGCATCCTCGCACAGGTCCTTCGTTCCCGCCTTCTCGCTGCCCTCCCAGCGGAAGTAGGGGCACTCGTGTTTCTGGTGGTAGTCGCTCATGCACAGGAATACCATTAGTAGGTAGGGACGACAGGCGTTCTTTAGAAGAACCTTTGCCCCGGGACTGGCCTTTAGAAGATTATAAACTCCCACTGCATCCTTTCGGCAGAAGTCATACATTTCTATGTGGTATTCCTTCTCCTTTGGTCGATCCGCATACATCTTTTCTGCGTCCAGCTTTACCATCTTCATGTTAATGGTATCGCTCTTGCCGATGTACTTCTTTTGCTTGTACAGGCACTCCACAAAGCACTAGAAGCAGTAGAAAATTAAGCTTATATCCTTAGAAAAATATTTATACCCACCGATAGAAACCTCAGGGTCTTGCCAATGTCGCTATCTCCATCCGCTGGTAATTTCGGCGAGTGTATAACGAAACACTTGACCATATCCTCTTCGTCTCCTATATAAAGTTCGGAGCAACAGCCATCCCTCTAAGATCAAGTTAAATCGAAACTTATTTCTTAAGATTTCCCAATTCAACTCACCTTATTGTTGCATTTATCCTCAGTCAAATCGCTTTCAGAACTGGAAACAATGGCCGTTTCTTCGGCATCCTGGGCCCTTGAAAAGGTCAGCAGTATTAAAAACGTCCAACAACAACTTAACTTGACCATCGCTTCTAGAATATTATGTATTTTCCACTGCCATAATATTTATAAAATCATGCGACCTCATTATTTGAATAAATCAATTTAAATCCAAATTGGATTGCTTAATTAAATGTAACAAATGTCTGTTGTAATGGCTGGAATTAAATGAGCGGAAAAAGAGAATATATTTTCCGACAGTTTGATGGCTAGACATTTGTTAAATTGATGGCGATTTCCTGTATTAATTTAAACGATATAGGTGGACACTATATAAGTAGTTGAAATTAGCTCGTTTTTGCAGAAACGGCGGAGCAATGAAGACCACAGTTCTGTTGAGTTTTTTCAGCCTCATTTGGGTGAGTTCCTTGGCTGACACAAAGCCATCTTTATTACTTACATTTACTTTTAGTTTGCTGACGGAATCAAAATCGATTGCGAAAACACGGAGGCAATCAATGAAGAGCACATCCATTATTGCTGCAAACATCCCGATGGACACAACGATATAATAGAGAGCTGTGCCAAGGAACACAACTTCATGGTGCCGAATCAAAACGAGGAGGCATTGGTAGACATCACAGCGGATCGGGCAATCCGAGGCACTTGTTTCGGCAAATGTGTCTTCAGCAAACTGAATCTCATGAAGGACAACGCCTTGGACATGGAAGCTGTGAGGAAATATTTCACTGCAAAGTTCCCCGACGATCCGGAATATGCCAAGGAAATGGTCAACGCCTTCGATCACTGTCACGGCAAGAGTGTGTATCAGATATTGGGTTAAAAAGTAGTCCACTTACTGTTTGATCTTCCCAAAAAGGTGAGGAGAATACCGTCATGTTCCTGTCGAAGCCCCTCTTCAAGCAGATGTCCGACCAGATGTGCGAGCCCAAGTCCAGCGTCGTTCTGGCCTGTGTGATCCGTCAGTTCTTCCACAACTGCCCGGCGGATCGATGGTCCAAGACCAAGGAGTGCGAGGACACCTTGGCCTTCAGCAAGAAGTGCCAGAACTCGCTGGCTACTCTGTAAAAATGTTCTATAAGGGATTTTGCCAATAAAGATCATACAATTTAAATTTATTGGTATTTAAATGAATTTGTTATTTAATTTAAAGGGAATTATTTTTAAAATTATAACACAGATACATAAAATGGAACTTCTTTCCTGATTCTACGAATCCTTTATACTTTACCATAATATGTAGGTGCTCCTGAGTAAAGGTCCCATACGAATTATGTTCCAAAATCATTATTAATGAAACCCCTAATTAAGCCTTTTAAATCCCAATCAAATTAAGTTACAATGAAAATTTGTTATTACGTAAGTAAGGTAAACTGAAAATCCCATAGACACATCCAGCTTTCAAATTCTCTTACAAAATATTAGAACTGCTTGTAATGTGTCTCTACCGTATCGTCTTTGCGGGGGACTTTAGGCATTAAGTCAGGATTGCCAGTAAAACCTCAACATGATTATACAAAAATCGCAATTAATTAGTCATATTTTAATGATTTTTGAAGGACTATTTTAGAATATAATAATCATTACATTGTTGTCAGCACATCCTTGCACTTCTTGGCAAAGGCCAAAGTTTCCGCGCACTCCGTTGTGTTCGACCATCGACTCTTGGGGCAGTTGTGAAAGAAGTTGTAAATAACGCAGGACATGATAATACTGGAGGTTGGTTTACAGAACTTGGCGGTGGCAAAGGTTCTAACAATTGGCAGCGACAGAAAGTGTTCCGTGGCAGTTTCGGCTAAAATGAATGATTGCAATTTGAATTCTAAACATCTTGACACAAAATTAAACTCACTTTTCGAGTGGCATCTCTCGTAGGCATTCAGCATTTCAGTTTCGTATTCGGGATCCGTTGAGTGGTACCTTTTGTAGTAGGAACGCACTTTGTCCATATCCAGGGTGTTATTCTCCATCAGATTGTAATGATCGAAGACGCATTTGGCCCAGCAGGTGCCGACCATCGCCTGGTCCACCGTCACGTCCTCGATGGCCTCCTCATCGGGACTTGGCAGTCCAAAGTTGGTCTTCTTGGCACACATTTCGGTAACTTCATTGTGACCATCGGGATGTTGGCAGCAGTGGTGAATGTTCTCCTCGTGAACAGTCTCCGTGTGTCGGCAGTGAACCCGAATGGCTAAGGATCCATCCTGAAAAGCAATAGAGATAATATAATATATATAATATTTACTAGTTTCCCTGTAAAAATAAAAACTGCACATAAAATACACACCAAAAGCTGCGATAGAATCACACAAATCACAATGGCAGTTCTCAGCATGATGACAGCGAATTGCCAGCCATTTCACCTCCGCTTTATATGTCAAACGGTTCCCCTTTGATGGACAGCCCTAATGGCGTTTTGCAATGTTCCGCATTAATTTAATTCGCATCCATTATTATGGCAACAAACCTGGCGACGGAAAGCTAAATTATGGAGTGGGTACTGGTGGGCTAGTGATTCTTGTCATGGCAACGCCGGCAATCAATTTGTTATTTGTTATTTTCCGAGGCGCGGCTTTCGCTCGCTTAATTAGTCAGAGATTGGCCTTTGAAATTTGATAAGCTGATTTTTGGGAAGCAGAAAAAAGAAACAAAATCATGGGCAAAAAGGGTAAAGGAAAAGGCAACAAATTGGCCAAAATGTCCGAAGAGGAGCGTGCCCGGTATTTGCAAATGAGGGCCGATATGGAGGAGGAGACGAGACGTCGGAAAATGCAGCTCATTTCCATGTACATGAAGGTATCATTCCCTGAATATGAAACGAAAAAAACCATATCTTAGATCTATTTTTCTTTTGATTAGAACAAACTGAAAAGGGAGGATGCCTTTGGACGCCTGAACATGGCTAAAATAAACCAGGAGTGGCGCAGCATTTTGCGCCAGGTGAAAATTCAAGAGCTGCGACGCGAGATTGTCGATGTGGAATCCTTCTTTCAGGAGGCTCTTAAACGCAAGGACCAGGTGATCCACCGGCTCATTGCCCACATTGAATCCACCGAGGACATGTATGCCAATCTGCAGCAGTCGCATATGGAGAATATCACCAAAATCGTCGGTAGGTTCGGGGTCCTACAAAATAATATCATAATCAGTAAAAAACATTTTTGGTGGTTTTCATTAAAATTATAATTTTTTCAAAGATAAAGTATATATTAAGAATCGAAACCTCGTAACTAATACCACAAATGTGATATCTATAAAAGTGGAGTATTTCTATGTACATTATTAACAACGAATGTGTAAGAATGTAAACCCTTAAAACTAACTCTTTTTATCCCACATTCTCCTTATATCTAACCTAAGACACCCATAGAAGTCGCATCGAGTTCTTCCGCGGGATCTACGAGGACGACAAGCAGGCGGTGCTAAGCCAGTGGGAGCAGGACTCCGCAGGATTCAAGGAGATGCATGCCCAGAAGCAACAGCAACTGGAGTGCGTCTTTTACCAGCTGGAGGAGAGCACCGATGGCGGGATTCGTGACAACCACGAGCGCTTCCTTGACCGCTGCGAGGACCTAAAAAGTGGGGTATGTTTGATCCTAGTTGAAGAGCATGTTGCCGTGCTCCCCCCAATCCTCGCACTGCGCCTTCGCGTACTCCGACATGCACTTGACCAGTTCCCGGGACACCGAGCACTTGTTGTGCCGGCCCCTTCCCCCGATGCTCTCCAAGTACCGGAAGCACTGCTGCACGGTGTCCGTGAAGAAGTTGCGCAGCTCCCGATCCCGAAGGTCCTTGGTCAGCAGATAGCTCACCTTGCGCCGGTCGGGCATCCCATTGCCGTCCACCTGTGAAAAAAAGAAGGAAAAACTGTAGTAAATCAATTGTCTTCATATTTAATCCGCTTTGAATTTCATCTTTTGCGGTGTTTTATAATTTTAAATCTTTAATTGGATAATGAAACTATTTTTCATTAAATTATGAAGGACTAGCATTCTAACTAAAATTTTCTACATTGATTTCAATAATTTTCAATTAAATAATTTTATTTAATTTGTTTTATGGATTTTATGGATTTTGATTCAAATAATAAATATTAAGATATTAATTTTTTAAGTTTCCATTTTTAATTATTCAAGGGATTCGTAAAAGGTTGATATATAAAGGATCCCCTGCTGCAATGGCTTGTTTTTTAATTTCAAAACAAGTTCTGGCATTCAAATTACGATTTTGGTTGGGGAACCACATACCATATTCATCTCCTCGAAAAAGCACTGGGCCAAACACTGACCTCCATCGCTGCTTGTGTTGTTCCTGCTGTCCGATGGCCTGAGACCCCTCCTCTGCCTTCGGTTGCCAAAGACGTCTCCTCTGTTGCCTTGATTTCGATCCCTATCCTGCTCTTCATCCTGACCTCTTTCGTAATCGAATCCATAGCTGTTTCCTTGCCTGCCCTGCCCTCCTCCTCCTCCTCCTCTTCCCACTTCTCGTCCTCGATCCTCGCTGTCGTCCTGCCGATGCATGCACCCTCGTACGGTTCTCTTGAGCTCCCCCTCGCTTAATCCCTCCTGGGATCGGCACTTCAGCCCGGAAATGGAGCAGGACCAGCAGGTCAGAATCAGCAGTACAATGAACAGGCGCATCTCGGCAACTGAATGGGGGAGCAGTTGGGCCAACATTATTTATAGTTTGGGAGAGTGATATCCCAAATTACAAAGTGACTGACATACAATGTCGCGAATCAATCTTCATTTTCCAATTGCGTGCCGTACTACGAAAGGTGTCATTAATTGACCTTTAAAAAAATTTAAAGTTATGTCGCATTATACATTTTATTAGATTATAAGAAAATTAAATTTCAATAAATGAAAATGTTTTACGAGTTTAACATAAATCTTGGAGAGATATTACCTCTAATTTATTTATATTATTCGTTGATATTACAAAATAACCTATATTCTAATTGAAATAACTATTTTTCCGCTTTCCAGATGCAACTGCAGCTGGAGCAGATCACCTCCCGGGGTGAGGCCAAATTGGAGAAGCTGTGGCAGGAGTACCAGGGTGTTCTAGCGGGCTACTGTCAGCACATCGAGGGCTTCTACTCGGAGTACGTGGATCTCAAGCAGCGGGATGAGGAGGCCGCCTTCCAGATCAGCCAACAGACCCACGAAATCGAGCACCTGGTGGACCAATTGGCCAATTTGCGTCTGGTCTCCGAGGAGTTCTATGTGAAGCAGCAGGGGCAACTGGACCAGCGGCAGGCGATCAAACAGCAGCTGACGGAGCGCCTGAGGGAGCTGCGCACCTGTGTGGAGCAGGAGGTGTCCCGGGATCACCAGGCCTTCAAGCTGATGTCCGTGGAGAGTTACAATGCCCTGGAGTCGCTGCAGGAAACGGTTGGCAAGGGCGAGACTTTGGTCCAGCTGTCGGCGGTCTGTGCCAAGATGGAAACGCAGCGAGAGAGGATGTTTCAGCTGCCGGAAATATCAAAGGAGATAATCGAGATACGCGAAATAGAGGCTCAAGATAATGGGGCTATCTCCGATCCAGCCACAGATCTCCTAAAGGTGGGTTAGGATTTAAATGAGTGAAATTCAAAATACATATTTATAATCCTTGTTTCCAGGACGAGGTCGCCGTGGTGCCCCAAATGGAGACCTTCTGGCGGCGGGTCAACAACGTGGCCGTGGACGTGGCCTGCCTGAAGCAGCAAAAGCGCCGCCTGGAGGCGGAAAACAGCCAGCTGAAGGCGCAGCTGCAGGAATACCTGGTCAATTTGAACATCGCCCACGGCTCCAACAGCCACGTCCACAGCTATCTGGCCCGGCGGCCCAAGAGCATGTCCGTGGACCGAGTGGCGCGCCTGCAGCTGCAGCCGAAGCTGGTGAAGAGTGCCCTGCCCGCTGGCCGCCGCCCACCAGCGACCACTCCGCCCACTTTCCACTTTCACCAGGGACGAAATCGAGTGCCCGCCTTCGATGCCAATTTCTCCAATGTGGTACGCTCAAGGACCCTGGTCCGGGGTAGGATTGATTGATTAAAAATCGTAATCTTATAATTTAAACAACATATTGATTTGGAAAATATTGTAATTGTAACAAACACTTTACATATTTTTTAATTTATGCTACACAATATATAAATATAAAAAGTAAATAAGTAAAAATATAAAAGACATAAAATAAGGTTTTTTAATATTAATTAAAATGAATTGCCCGCGAACAAACATTTAAAATTCAAGCAGTGACTCCGAACAGAGCTGCCATATCACCGAAAAGAAGTGGTGTTTTGGTATTTTTCAGTATTTTTAATCGGACTACCCGCGCCTTCCACTCAACCAACAGTACCGTTGCGCCCTGCACTTATGAACTATCTGCATACTACAATTTTTATATTTACTTCGGGATATATTTAAAAATGTGCTTTTTATAAAACATCTCGAAAAATGTTGCTTAAAAAACCGTCGGCAAACCGTCCAACCTCCAACTTTAAAATAGCAAATTTCGGAGTAGTTATCGAAGAGCCTGGCGGGTAATTCGAATTTTTCAGTTATTTCTTTTATTTTTAACAATATGCGCTTTAAAGAAGTATTCTTTTTGTAATTTCTAAGAAAAACATAAATTAAACTTAAAACTTATTGGAAAATAAGCAAAATAAGTCAAATAAAATTCGATAATTACTATCGAAATGTAGTGTATGCACCCAGCCCTGGTCGTTCGTTGCGCTCTCAGATTTCCACAGACACGACCCACGTCCAATTGAGTTTTCACTGCGCCGTGAATCGAATTAAAAACGCAGGAAAATAGTTAATTTGCAGCAGCTAAATTAGAGTAAGTTTAGTCATGAAGAAACTGGGATAAGAACGCGAACTTAGTGCATAGTTAAGTCAAGTTTTCGGGCATCGAAAAGTGCAGCTGCTGCGGATGTAACTCAAATATTACAAGGAGTTATAGATACAACACTCTGTTATAGATACAACAACAAGCGGAACGGGGGGAAGTCCCAGGAACGGCAGGCGGTGCGAGCGAGAGGGAAAGAGGAGTGAGTGCGAGTGAGAGTGAGAGGGCGGAGTGGCAGTGGGTTCTTGTTCTTGTAATTTTACCAAAAAGAAATTTCGTTCGGGAAATGTGGAAAATGTGCGCGAGGAGAGCTGATGGAGAAAACAACCCCGAAAAGCGAGCAATCGACGAATAAATACCAACAAAACTTACACTGCGCGGCTGATTAATCAAAAACCAAAAGGGAAAATCAAAAACTAACGAAAAACGAATTAAAAAAGCGTTATAAAGAAAGTGTGAGAACGTGAAATCAAAACTCCAAATCAGAATTTGGATTGTAAATTTTCGGGGCTGGTCGCGTTGCGTTTCGAATGGGAGATAAACACAAAGAGAGATAAATACGGAAATAAAATTAATGGAAAACCAGCATAGACACACAGATATGTGGGTGTGAGTGAGTGTGCGTGTGTGTGCTTATCGCATGGAAATGCAGGCGTAAGTGGAGCAGGCGAGAAATAATTTCGGAATTTCGGGACAGATAAAAAGCCCAAGTAAACCCCGCAAAGTCCCGCTATAATGGCGCTATAGCGCCTGCCACGCCTAACGAGCGAATCATCCTAACAGCTGCCCACATTTCGTTAACCCCCCCATTTCGATATATCATCCATCCTAGGACCCAAAAACAACGCCAAAATGATACCCGCTGCCTTGGGTCATCTGTAGAGTCGTCATCGCAACAGCACCACCATACAATGCATCCCATGTATTCCGAAAACCACGCCATCGCCTGGAGCACGAGCACCACTATTAACCCATCGCACAGCCGGAGCGGCAGGATGCGGCTCCTGCCCGCCTGGCTGCTCCTCGTCCTGGTGGCCAGCAGCGGCCTGCCAGCAGTCAGAGGTAAAGCTCGAAACCCTTCGAAGGAATCTTATATGCTGGCCAAATCGCTCACCCATATCCCCAATGTCCCCTTAAAACTTTTTACAGGCCAGTACCAATCGCCGCGCATCATCGAGCATCCCACGGATTTGGTCGTCAAGAAGAATGAGCCCGCCACACTCAACTGCAAAGTGGAGGGCAAGCCGGAACCCACCATCGAGTGGTTTAAGGTACCTAAAAAAATACTAACTCCAAACTATAGCCATAGAACTACACGGATAATAGTTTTGGTTTAATCCAATTGGGCAGCTTAAATATATACATTTAATCTATACTTTATTTCAAAGGTTTTGGACCTAATAATATTTCCAAATTTGAGACGCAATTCATTGGAATATAGCATACATATCAAATTGATAAGCCAATATGTAGTCGAAAAATTTGTGTTTCATTAAGTGGATTTTCCACAGAAATTACAAATATTTTAAAATTAACCATGAATGTACAGCCAAAAAAAAAACACAATTTCAAATCAAATTTTACGTACAGCGCCTTTTTTATTTTTCATATTTTTTTCCGAATAACAATATTAGCACTATCTGTGGGTAAATCCTGCAAGAAGTTGCACCCAAATTAGATTTATTTTTAGAAGTTTTATTATTTTAGAGTAATAAAAACTTTAACATTAAATAAATAATATTTATAAACATACAAAAATAATTTTTACAAGAAACATTTTCAAAGGAACAACCACTTTCGTAGACCTCACTAATTCAAAATAGTATACATATGTTTTTATTATTTCTGTAACATTTTTTACATTTAGCAGTAAGTTAAAAATAATTTTAAATGGAAGTACTTTAATATTTACGAAATATTACACAAGATAGTTGTAGTTTTTTTAAGTGTAACCTTCAAAACCTTACCAAATCGTAACGTAATTCCCCCCGTATTATTGCATTTTCAGGATGGCGAACCCGTCAGCACCAACGAAAAGAAGTCGCACCGCGTCCAGTTCAAGGACGGCGCCCTGTTCTTCTACAGGACGATGCAGGGCAAGAAGGAGCAGGACGGCGGAGAGTACTGGTGCGTGGCCAAGAACCGAGTGGGCCAGGCCGTTAGTCGCCATGCCTCGCTCCAGATAGCTGGTAAGTTAGTCCGCCACTCCAGTCTGCAACTTGTCTGCCCACACGCTTGCACGCTTTGTCTCTGATTATTTTGTGATTTGTTTCTTTTTTTTCTGTCTTAATTTTCCTCGCCAGTTTTGCGCGACGATTTTCGCGTGGAGCCCAAAGACACGCGAGTGGCCAAAGGCGAGACGGCTCTGTTGGAGTGTGGGCCGCCCAAAGGCATTCCAGAGCCAACGCTGATTTGGATAAAGGTGGGTACCAGAAACTAGACTCCGAAAATCGTTCCAAGCTCAGTGGATAAACCGCTTTTTGTGTGCTCCCAGGATGGCGTTCCCTTGGACGACCTGAAAGCCATGTCTTTTGGCGCCAGCTCCCGTGTTCGAATCGTGGACGGTGGCAACCTGCTCATCAGCAATGTGGAGCCCATCGACGAGGGCAACTACAAGTGTATCGCCCAGAATCTGGTGGGCACTCGGGAGTCCAGCTACGCCAAGTTGATTGTCCAGGTCAAGCCGTACTTTATGAAGGAGCCCAAGGATCAGGTGATGCTCTACGGCCAGACGGCCACCTTCCACTGCTCCGTGGGCGGCGATCCACCGCCGAAAGTGCTGTGGAAGAAGGAGGAGGGCAATATTCCGGTGTCCAGGGCTCGAATCCTGCACGATGAGAAGAGTCTGGAGCTAACTAACATAACGCCCAGCGATGAGGGCACCTACGTCTGCGAGGCGCACAACAATGTGGGTCAGATCAGCGCCCGGGCTTCGCTCACAGTGCATGGTACGATCTAATTCTATTTGTCAACTCATCAAATAACCATTTAAAATCAAATCCACTTCCTTAAAGCTCCTCCAAACTTCACCAGTCGACCGAGTAACAAGAAAGTGGGACTCAATGGCGTTGTCCAGCTGCCCTGCGTGGCTTCCGGCAACCCACCGCCCTCTGTTTTCTGGACCAAGGAGGGAGTATCCACCCTCATGTTCCCGAACAGCTCCCACGGCAGGCAGCATGTGGCTGCCGATGGAACCCTGCAGATCACAGATGTGCGGCAGGAGGACGAGGGCTTCTATGTGTGCTCCGCTTTCAGTGTCGTAGATTCCTCCACGGTGCGAGTTTTCCTGCAGGTCAGCTCGGTGGATGAGCGTCCGCCGCCTATTATTCAAATAGGACCTGCCAATCAGACGCTGCCCAAAGGATCGGTGGCCACATTGCCCTGCCGAGCCACTGGAAATCCCACTCCTCGTATCAAGTGGTTCCACAACGGACTTGCCGTGCAAACTGGCAATCGTTACAGCATTATTCAAGGCAGCTCACTAAGAGTGGATGGTAAAATATATACAAAATATTCTGTCTTACCATGTGTTAACTTTTGTTTCCTCTTTTAGATCTTCAACTTGGTGACTCTGGAACATACACCTGTACGGCATCTGGGGAACGAGGAGAGACATCCTGGGCAGCCACACTTACGGTGGGTTAAACAATATAACCCTCTTGAAACTACCTGCTAATCAATAAAAACATCTGCTCTTTTAGGTCGAAAAAGCTGGCTCTACATCCCTTCATCGGGCAGCTGATCCCAGCACCTACCCTGCTCCTCCGGGCACACCCAAAGTCCTGAACGTCAGCCGCACCAGCATTAGTCTTCGCTGGGCCAAAAGCCAAGAGAAAACCGGGGCTGTTGGTCCAATAATTGGGTGAGTTTAGGCGGCACACCCATTCGATGAGATCATCATTATATTTTCAATTTTGAATTGCAGATATACCGTGGAGTACTTCAGTCCGAATTTGCAAACTGGTTGGATTGTGGCTGCCCATCGAGTGGGCGACACTCAAGTCACTGTAAGAAAAGCTCTAAATAACTCATTTACGTGTTGACTAATATTTTCTTTGAATTTCATGCAAGATTTCGGATCTCAAACCGGGCACTTCGTATGTCTTTCTCGTGAGGGCTGAGAATACGCAGGGTGTATCTGTACCCTCGGGCTTATCGAATGCCATTAAAACGATTGAGGAGGATTTCGATGCAGCTTCTGCCAACGATTTGTCAGCAGCTCGCACTTTGCTGACTGGAAAGGTTAGTTTATATAATGGCTAAAATAAAAATAATCCTAACATGAGTATTTTTTTGAACAGTCCGTGGAGCTATTAGATGCCTCATCTATTAATGCCAGTGCCGTGCGCTTGGAATGGATGCTGCACGTGAGTGCGGATGAGAAATATGTAGAGGTAAGCCCCATCGTTTATATAAGCTTTTACCAAAACCAATCCTAATTTTTCGTTACCTTACTTTCCAGGGCCTTCGCATACATTATAAGGATGTTAGTTTATCATCGGCACAGTATCACTCGATCACTGTTTTGGATGCCTCTGCAGAATCGTTTGTGGTGGGAAACCTTAAAAAGTACACCAAGTATGAGTTCTTTCTCACACCCTTCTTTGAGACCATCGAAGGGCAGCCCAGCAACTCCAAGATGGCCCTCACCTATGAAGATGGTAAGAACTAGGAAGATTAGCTAAATATTCAGTATTTATATACTCTCTATATATTACAGTACCCTCTGCCCCGCCGGACAACATTCAGATCGGGATGTACAACCAGACCGCAGGATGGGTGCGTTGGACTCCGCCACCCAGCCAGCACCACAATGGCAACCTGTATGGCTACAAGATCGAGGTCAGTGCCGGGAACACCATGAAGGTTCTCGCCAATATGACCCTTAACGCCACCACCACATCTGTGCTGCTGAACAACCTAACCACTGGAGCTGTGTACAGTGTGCGCTTGAACTCGTTCACCAAGGCAGGAGATGGGCCCTACTCCAAACCGGTTAGTTAATTTACTTCTAAGTTTTCTTTTGGCCACTTCCTGAAACCCTTCGCTTCCACAGATATCGCTCTTCATGGACCCCACCCATCATGTGCATCCGCCACGCGCCCATCCCAGCGGCACCCACGATGGCCGCCATGAGGGCCAGGATCTCACGTACCACAGCAATGGGAACTTACCCACCGGCGACATCAATCCCACCACTCATAAAAAGACCACTGATTACCTATCTGGGCCCTGGCTAATGGTCCTGGTCTGCATAGTCCTCCTAGTCCTGGTAATTTCGGCGGCAATATCAATGGTTTACTTCAAGAGAAAGCATCAAATGACCAAGGAACTGGGACACTTGAGTGGTAAGTGTAACCTTTCAAATGAATAGTGTATTTTAAATATGAAAAATGTTCAAGAGATTCATCTTCTTTAAATTTAAGTAAGGTTTCTAAATGTATATAGTTATTTTCTAATTATTTTCTATAATTTTTTTATAAATTCTCAGTGGTCAGCGACAACGAAATAACCGCACTGAACATCAACAGCAAGGAGAGCCTGTGGATAGACCATAGTCGTGGCTGGCGAACAGCAGATACGGACAAGGATTCCGGATTGAGTGAATCCAAGTTACTGTCCCACGTGAACAGCAGCCAATCCAACTACAATAACTCCGATGGGGGAACGGACTATGCCGAAGTGGACACTCGAAACCTTACCACCTTTTACAACTGTCGCAAGGTAAGGGTTATACGAGTATTTCTTTTACAAAATATATACTTACTAGAACTTACTCTTGCAGAGCCCCGATAATCCCACGCCCTATGCCACCACCATGATCATTGGCACCTCCTCCAGTGAGACCTGCACCAAGGCGACCTCGTTGAGCGCTGACAAGGACTCGGGTACCCATTCGCCATATTCCGATGCATTTGTCGGCCAGGCACCAGCGGTTCCGGTTGTGAAATCCAACTATCTGCAGTATCCGGTTGAGCCGATCAACTGGTCCGAGTTCCTACCCCCACCACCGGAACATCCACCGCCGTCCTCGACATACGGATATGCCCAGGGATCCCCGGAATCATCGCGGAAGAGCTCCAAGAGCGCAGGCTCAGGCATTTCCACCAACCAGAGGTAAGATTTTCATTCAGATTAGAGCCCTGCATGAATGAATTCAATGAATTATTTTGAATTTTTTCTTTTATTTGAATGAATTACTTCCAATGTTGAGTTTAAATTAATGAATTGGGTTTTTAAGTTTAATAGAATTGAATGAATAATGGCACGAATTCCGAAATAATTCAAACGTCAATTTTTTTTAAGAAGAAAGGGCCATAATATTATGTTTAAAGGCCGTTTTCTCGTTTAACAAACGGACGAGAAAACGGCCCTAAATATGCCTGAATATTATTTACTATGCAGTTAACATTGATATGTTAAAAAATTTCTGAAAAGAAAGCACAAAATAATCTGGCAAATTCAAAAAATTCATAAAAATTATTCATTCATTTATTCAATTCGAAGTGAATTAGAAAAACATTCTATTTATTTCGCATAGAATTGAATTAAACCAATCAGAAATTTCATGGCAAAACATGGTAAAATAAAAAATGAATTATTCACGCAGGGCTCTAATTCTGATTTAGTTGAAAATGTACTCAACACTTCCACTTCATTGCAGCATTCTGAACGCCTCCATACACAGCAGCTCCTCGGGCGGCTTCTCCGCCTGGGGAGTTTCGCCGCAATACGCCGTCGCCTGTCCCCCGGAGAACGTGTACAGCAATCCGCTGTCGGCGGTGGCTGGCGGCAACCAGAACCGCTACCAGATCACGCCCACCAGCCAGCATCCGCCGCAGCTGCCGCCCTACTTTGCCACCGCGGCTCCGGCGGTGGGCGGTGTGATGCCGCCCAACCACCTGCCATTCGCCACCCAGCGCCATGCGGCCAGTGAGTACCAGGCCGGATTGAATGCGGCGCGCTGTGCCCAGAGCCGTGCCTGCAACAGCTGCGATGCCCTGGCCACGCCCTCGCCCATGCAGCCCCCACCGCCAGTTCCCGTTCCCGTTCCCGAGGGCTGGTACCAGCCGGTGCATGCGATGCACCCCACCTCCTCCAGCCACCAGATCTACCAGTGCTCCTCCGAGTGCTCGGATCACTCGAGGACCTCGCAGGGTCACAAGCGGCAGCTGCAGCTGGAGGAGCACGGCGGCAGTGGCAAGCAGCGCGGCGGACACCACCGGCGACGGGCTCCGGCGGTGCAGCCGGCGTGCCTGGAGAGCGAGAACGAGAACATGCTGGCGGAGTACGAGCAGCGCCAGTACACCAGCGACTGCTGCAACAGTTCCCGCGAGGGCGACACCTGCTCCTGCAGCGAGGGATCCTGCCTGTACGCCGAGGCGGGCGAGCCGGCGCCCCGTCAAATGACTGCTAAGAACAACACCTAAGGAAGAAGTATTTGGGATTAGTATTAAAGATAGCATCTAGTCTAACTCTTCATTCATATCGAACTGGAAGTCAGTCTGCGGACTGTCTGAACTCAAAGTTTCTGCATCAACTATCGAAAGCGGATAGCTGATGCCTCGACTCCACTGCAACAAGCCTCTTGTAAATGTTAAACCGTAAATTCAACCAGAAATGCTATATTTGAATTGTATTTAAAAAAAAAGGAAATTCAGAAGTCAAAAACAGATAATGAGAAAACATGTTGCAGTGAAATCTTGGGTATTAGACTCAGATACACAAAACCACACTTGTCACAATCATGGGGGCATTGTGCAGCTTTAGCAATTACGAATTTTCCATTATCACATCTACCAGCGTAGAGACTCATAGACAGGCACAGTGCTCCCCCATCCATGCACCACAGAAATGTTGCCCCGAAATGGGGAAACGAAATACCTTTGTACTTAAGAGACGCGAATGCTGTACGATAGATATTGCTTGAGACAGTAATCACTTAATAGCAGGGATCTGTGTCCCAGCAGAACTTCATTAAAATACGTACTCAAAGGAACTTATAGAGGAAGATAAACCAGATCAGGCCATAGCAAGTACACACAAACAAAAAACATAAGAAAAGGGTGACTCACGACGTAGGTAGTTAGAACCAAAGTACACATATTTGTACAGCATGTTTTGGGGCTTTCGAATCGGTCCTAGTCAATAGGCTTGATAGCGATACAATAACGATACTGATTACGATATACTTGTATGCAAAACTCTTTCATATCTACGATCACAATCGAGCATTTGTCTCCGACTCGAACTCGTGGGAAGTTGAGCGAGTAGAGTTTGGGGGACAAGTGGAACGGCAGTTGCAATGTTTAATGGTTAGTGCTTTTCTATAACAAGGAATAATATACTTCATTGACCCAGTGAATATATATCTATACATACATACTAAACGACACACTACACAACTACTTACATAGCATTTAGACGAGTTGGGGAGCTGCATACGGCCAACAGAACAAACCCCAGTTGTCCGTTCCGTTGTCCTGTCCCTGTGCAGATCCCTCCATGACACAATGTTTTCTACAATCTAGCATTTTGAAGAAAGTCTAAAATGTACCTGTGATATAACCCCATTATACATTATAGTATTTTAATCATTTTTTATATTTATGGTTTTCTGATTTCGAGTCGCGTTTTTTGTTCATTCTGTTCGAACAACGAGGAATGTTTGTTGGAAGTCCCCACGCAGACAGAGTTTTTTTTGGGAGAGTATATAGCATAATTTAGGATCTTAGGCACGTACCACATTAGAAATGCAAAATGAATATATCATCAAATCAAATCGAATCGAAGCGGCGGAGAGAAACGCTCAGAGAGTTCGGCTCGCCGAAGGGGCCCAAGCACTTCTCTACTAAACCCCCGATCGTGAGTTGAATCGGGAAAAGTGGGGAAGGGAGAGGTGCTTCGAGCCGAGTATAGAGCCGTGGATATACGCAATATCCATGGGGACTAGAGTCAACGAATCGTTTAAACAATACTAAACACATATGCATTACATTTACCTATATAGAGATCATATAGCACCTAGAACCGCGCATGTATCAAATCAAATCAAAATATGCTTTAGCATACACTCACACAAAAACCACTTCCTTGCTAGCCGCCCCAGATCGGCCCGGCATGTACATATATATATTATATATATACAACATACTCCTAATCCTAATATCGAATCCAACTTGCTTGAGTTGAACTGCCCTTCCGTAGCCATATACATATAGAAAAAGCATAGTTGGGTCTGGGTTTTAATAATTAGCATCTAGTTTCTAGAGTTGTGTAACGGGAGTATTTTAAAGTCATAGCGTAAACGAATTTTAAGAACGAACAGAACCCCTAAAACGAATCGGACATTTAGTTTTTAGTGCGTAATGCCATAAATGAACATTTTTCAAAAGCAAAATAATAACTGACATTTACTTACGATATAAATACTATATCTAGATATATACATATAGCATTTAAAATTACATAAACAATAAAGGAACATTTTACATATATGTGGAAAAACTAAGTCTTTCGTTTTGGAATAATCGTTGATGGATATGTCGGATCAAAAGATCTTTCTTTCTTATAATCTGTAGGATATCTTTTTGTATCCTAAGGGTTTCAGTTACTTCAATTGGCCTTTCCTGGTAACACTTCATTTTTTAGTTGACCAGTTCCTTTCCTGTAACGGTCTTTGATGGCTTTGTGGATATCTACATACTTCGCCAGAAATCTCCTTGAGTTGCAGCGGAACTTTGCACTTGAGACAACGACAACCCTTGAGATTATTCCATGACCTCTCAATCCGGTTTCAGTTTACATCGCTCTGCCTGCTCATGTGAATGTGGAAGTGGAAGTCGTTCCGAGAGCTGGACAAGTGTTAATTCCCAACGGGACACTATAAATTCTTATATCCTCTTCCCATATGAAACCACTTGAAGCTGGAGGATACGCCCAAGGATCGGCAATTGGCTGTTTTCGTCGAAATGGGGACTTAAAAAGATGGTTTAAAAAACCGAGATTAGATTGTGGGTGTATGATTTAGAAATGTGTTTTTTTGCGTCTAGGGGAAGACTGTTCTTAAGTTATTTAATAGGAAAATCATTTTTCTTTTTATGAGGGCAAGTTCTTTGATCACATTTGTTTAAAGCGATCAAAAGCAAATTATGTGATGTACTGAAACCAATCTGTCACAGCATGAGGTCGTTTCTGATGCCGGTGTTTAAAATCCCACCGCTATGCACTCGCTGACACCCTTTTCTCTGGCAAGAGGTCATATCAAAGGAGAGATGGAATCTGGAAGAGATGCGGGCAGACCACAAATTGGTCAAAGTTGGCGATAGCATCAATTGGACTTGATGGCGGCGCCTTTTGTATTGTTTGTCCCTCCCTTAGTTGGCACACTGGCAACTCACTCAATCCGGATGTATCTGAATCTCCAACTTGGTGTTGAAATGCAATGCCTCCGCTAATACTTTAATTTCAGTTCTAACATCAACATTTCTAGTTTATAACAAATTGGAAAGGTAAATATAACTTTTCAGGTTTTATACTTTCCGGGATCTCGACGTCCTTATGGACATGACTCGATCGACTCGGCTAGTGATACTTCATTCAATCGTCCCCACTTCCTTCTACTTGTAAAATACTTTTCATTGAAATACTTTTCAATAACTTTTCCTCCATTAGTATCAACAATAGACGTTATACTAATTATAATGAAAATAATATTTACATTATCCTTTCCGAAAATGCTTTTCAAGATAATTAAAGAGGAATAATAAATTGTATAGTAGTAATACCGTAAAACATTTTATTATATGCATTACATATCAATTGGATATCTCGAACGACGGCTGCAACTTCATTTGACTTTAAATTTACTGCAATGAAGTTCTGAACATGGCTTAATCAATTATTTAGGGGAAATGTGGAGTTAAGACATAAATTGGCAGATGTGCCCATTCTCGAATGTGCATACTCAGATTAATCTGGCATCTTGTATCTGCTGCCCGCAGATAAGACAAGTAGCTATGCAGATTGAATTCGCTGGGCTGGGCCAAACATCGGCTTGTGGACTGTCTGCGTGGGCCTCTTCCCTCCGCCCCGCCCCGGCAGCCCTGCCTCAACCTCGTCTGCCCACGGAGATTGCATTTGGCCCGTTTGCACTGCGACTGCGTGTTGCACCTTTTCCGCTGGCTTATGCTTCTACCTGTGATGCCCAGCGGCAGCTTTAATGATCGTGATCATAGTACGCAACGCGCAAAAAGAAAAGAAAATGAGAAGAAGACCCAAGATGACGAGGGAGAGCCGGCCCAGCCGAAAACCAATCGATTATTATATGTGCCGCACTATATTTCTGAGTCGGCGACGGAGGACTGTAGCCGATGCAGAGTTCCAGCGAAGAGATTATTTTTTTTTCGATGGCCGCCTTGACACGTCCAAAAGACTGATAGAGGGAGAGATTGGCCCTTTTTGGCCAAACCGGTTTGACAGGTAGAAGAGGCATAAGACGCGGCCGAGAGGCCCGGAGGTTGGAGGGACGCACGCCTTGCCCTTCTGCCCGCCAGGATAATGACTGTACGGCTGCGAGAGTCCTCGGCAGGAGGCCCATGAAATCAACGTAGGCTCTTTTCCATGCACTGAGATAAAAAGTCTTAGCAAGCGGTAAATGGATATTATGATTGAACAATTCACCTGGTAAAAGTTGTATTTGGTTACTTTAAAACGTTGCCTTAAAGGGTAATAGATAGATATTCTATGATATTCCACGGGGGTGATATATCACCCCCCACAAAAAATTTGTTCTGATATCACCCCCACAACAAAATCCTAGATCCGCCTCTGGATATTAACATACAATTTTTTAAATAAATTTACAAAATAGAGTTTATACATTTTCAATAGATTTTGAAAAACAATGGAGAAATCAAGTTCTTGTTTAACCATACATATTTACATCCGAAATTAACTCCCTCAAAGATAGCAGTAAACTTGTTTAGTTTTAAAAAATGTACCTATGTATGTATACTTTAAAAAAAAGTTGTACATAACCCAAGTTGTTAGATATTTTGTACCCTGAATAAAAGTAACATTCGGTTTGCTATAAACTAAATCCTTTAGAAAAACGCTGTTACATACTTTTTTTAAATGTTTAACCAGTCCAAACTCTATCACTTAACTTTATTAAACTCTCATGTTGGAAACTGTCCTATCGGAATGTTAAATTTTATGTTATTTATCATCAAACGTTTTTGATAAGGGATTCCCCTTTAATGAACATAATTTTTGCTTAGTGTAGTAATCCCTCTTCAACATCTTCAGCTCCAGGATGCTGATATCGATGTCTGGATGTTTGAGGGTGCGGGTGTGAGCGTTTCGGGGTCAGGTAGCAGCTCAGATTTTCCCATGTCCTAGGGCCTTTTCCTCCATTTCGATCCTGTCCCTTTTCTTCTATTTTTTTAGAAGGCAAAGAAGACGTCGGCGTTTTCCTTTTTTAGGGGGCAAATGCACAAGAGAGAGTGCATGGCTTTCCTAGTATCAATAACAATGCCAGTTCGCTATTGTTGTGCCATCCGTTGGATTTGTGCATCCCAATCTGTTTCTGTTTCTGTGTGCGGCAACGTATTTTTTCTTCTTTTTGGAGTTATCGTTAATATTTTCCTGGAAACCGGGATTGTGTTGTTGTTGCGTTCGCAGGTAGCGATCGCACTCACACAGATGCGTTAGAGGGAGAGCGAAGAGAAGGAGGAGGAGGGGCGAGGAAGAAAGACAGAGAGAGAGAGAGAAGACAGGTACCTGCTCGACTTCGGAATGCAGCGGCAGCAGAAACAACAAATGCGTCGGAGTTTGGCATTGAGTTTGGCTCAGCGGGTAAAGAATAACCTGAAACATGGAGCAAACCAAAAGATAAATCCAAGCCTGGTCTTATAACCAGCATTAGTCTCTCCCTTGCATAGGCTCTCTCTATGTTTCTCTCCAGCGGTTTGGGTATCTCAAGTCAGTGATGAGAGTGCTGACAAGACTGAAAACGGTTTTAAAACAAGAAGGGAAGCTTACGTTATCGAAAATATATTCTTATATCTATAGCAGGGGTGGCTTAAAGAAAACACAAACTCATGTCGCTATTATAAGCAAAAAAGAAAGCTTGGCTTGCAAAGTTTAGGCAAACAATCGATTGTATGCTATAATAACAGCAGAATGAATATGAGGTCCCGATATATCCTCCTCTATCATAATAAAGATCAAATTTCTGAAATAATATTCAACTGTTTAGAAATAGAGATACATACCTATGCAGTAGTAAATTATTTTAGGAAATTATATTTATTACGCATTAAATATGATTACGATTCAAAACCAATATCCCCAGAATACGTTTAAAACTTTTTACCTCATATTAACTACATTTTGTACCACCCACACCTTAAACCTAGCCTTAAACAAGCCAAACTAGCTATAAACCGCCGTTGACTCAGCATTCAGAGAGAGCCCACGAGAGAGAGCGCACAAAGAGAGTAAGCGAGAGAAAGCGCACTTTGCTACCTGCTCCGAGCAAGCGACCTTATTGCTGAATACGCTCAGATAAAACTAATCCTCCCTCGCTCTCTCTGCCGCCGCGTGTCTCTCTCGCAACTCAAGCTAAAAGCAAGGCGCCTTGGCGTTGCGAGTTAAGTTTTTCATCGTCGTCCGGTTCGCGCACATCGCTTCTGTCTCGGCCGCAAAACGCAGAAACAAATAAGAGACCCACTGGGACTTGGGACTACCGATTACCGACAGCGACTTCCACTAAAGCAAAACCAAAACCACCCGACACAGTGCTCTCGAGTTACGGTGAACAGCGCGAGTGAACAGCCACAGTGAACCCCCACTAGTCTTCAACCAAGCATACAAACAGTAAAATGCAGCGTGTATAGAATAAGCGAGCGCCAGAGTAGATCCAAAGTAGCAGTCAAGCGAATAGCCAAGTGAAAAAGCAAGCGGAGGACATGGCCACCAACACGGAACTGCTGCCCTTCCACCACCAGACGATCGCGGTGTTGAACAATCTGAATAGCCACTGTGGCGGATCCGGGAGCAATGGGGCGGCCACCAGCGGCGGAGCAGCGGGGGCGGCCATCAGCGGAGGCGGAGGAGCGCCCAGCTGGGCCATGGACGAACTCTATCAACAGACTGAGCTGCCCGGCCTGACGCGAACCGGGGCCACCACCACCCACCACCACCTGCTGCGCTTCACGCCCTACGCCCTGCACCACCGACCGCCGCACCACCAGCTGCAGACGCTGCCCCCGGCCTTGTACTTGCAGCATGCCGCAGCAGCGGCGGCGGCGGCAGCAGCAGCAGCGGCCCACGCACAGCACCACCACCACCATCATCACCACCTACCGCACAGGCCCGCCTCGCCGGAGAGTCCGCCGCCGGTGGAGGGCACCCACATCAGCAATCTGTTCCCCGAGCTCCTCGAGCAGATCTTCGAGCACCTACCCGTGAGGGATTTGGGCCGGGCCGCGCAGGTCTGTAGCGCCTGGCGGGACGCGGCCTATGCCAAGAGCGTCTGGAAGGGCGTCGAGGCCAAGCTGCACCTGAAGCGCTCCAGCCCGAGTCTCTTCAACTGCCTGGTCAAGCGGGGCATCAAGAAAGTGCAGATCCTCTCGCTGCGCCGTTCGCTCAAGGACCTGGTCCTGGGCGTTCCCGCCCTGACCTCGCTGAACCTGAGCGGCTGCTTCAACGTGGCGGACATGAATCTGGGCCACGCCTTCAGCGTGGACCTGCCGAACCTCAAGACCCTGGACCTCTCGCTGTGCAAACAGATCACGGACACGAGTCTGGGGCGGATCGCCCAGCATCTGAGGAACCTGGAGACCCTGGAACTGGGCGGCTGCTGCAACATCACCAACACCGGCCTGCTGCTCATCGCGTGGGGCCTGAAGAAGCTGAAGCACCTCAATCTGCGATCCTGCTGGCACATCAGCGACCAGGGCATCGGTCACCTGGCCGGATTCTCGCGGGAAACGGCCGAGGGCAACCTGCAGCTGGAGTACCTGGGACTGCAGGACTGCCAGCGGCTGAGCGACGAGGCTCTGGGCCACATTGCCCAGGGTCTGACCTCGCTGAAGTCGATCAACCTGAGCTTCTGCGTCTCGGTGACGGACAGCGGACTGAAGCACCTGGCCCGCATGCCCAAGCTGGAGCAACTGAATCTGCGCTCCTGCGACAATATCTCGGATATCGGAATGGCCTACCTCACCGAGGGCGGCAGCGGGATCAACTCGCTGGACGTTAGCTTCTGCGACAAGATCAGCGATCAGGCCCTGACGCACATTGCCCAGGGACTCTACCGACTGCGATCGCTGTCCCTCAACCAGTGTCAGATCACCGATCACGGCATGCTGAAGATCGCCAAGGCGCTGCACGAGCTGGAGAACCTGAATATCGGACAGTGCAGCCGGATTACGGACAAGGGCCTGCAAACACTGGCCGAGGATCTGACCAATCTCAAGACCATCGATCTCTACGGCTGCACGCAACTCAGCTCCAAGGGCATCGACATCATCATGAAGCTGCCCAAGCTGCAGAAGCTCAATTTGGGCCTCTGGCTGGTCAGGTGATGCGTCCACCACGATTGCAACGCCTGTGCGGCGGAGGAGGCCGCTCGCGGCTCTTATAATTCCCAACCATAGATTCCGGGCGGGAAAGAGAGGGCGAGAGACAGGATGGATAGGCGGTGCAGGCGGGGCAGAAGCAGACAAGATACACTGAGAACTCATAGCTTTCGTTTGCCATACCACACGCTGTACTACATTTTTTTCGTACGAATCGAGAAACGAGCAGAGAGGCACAAAAAACCCCAGCAACAACAAAAAGCAAACAATGAGGCACACACTCAAGCACACACACACACGCAAGCGAGCAAGGCGAGCGGGCGGAGTTGGGGCAAGAGGGACAGAGACAGACGGCGTCAGGGAGAGAGTGCTGCAAGCTCAGCTTGATTCTAGCTAGGTAAACTTTAGTAGGGGGGTTGAAAAATTATTCTGAGCAACATCAAGAGTTCGGTTCTTGAAAACCTTTTTACACGACCTTAGTTTTTATCACATTTTTTTCTTTCGACCAGATGCTGTAAACACCAGTATAAGGTGTTGAACCATCAGAAGTAAAACTTTTCATCTTTTTCTATTCTTAACACACCAAACTAAGATGAAAACTCAGCTTGTGTAAAAAGGTTAGAGCCAACAATTTCATTTGTTTCGAAATCAATATTTTTAAAATGATTTAAAAATATCAAATTTCTTGTAAAACTTCAATTAGATAGCCTTCCCGCTAAATCTAGCTAGTTTCCGGCTGAGGAAAACACAACACTTTCCATGGAGCTCGCTCTGCTGCGTTGTGTTTTGTTGTGCCGAGCTCCTAGGGGGCCAGAGCGAGAGGGGAGATGCCGCTGGCGTCGGCTTACACGCACGCAGCGATAAAAAAAATAAAAAAGAGAAAAAGAAACAGCAGGCAGGCACAACAACAACTGCAGCTATGGCCGACAGCAACAAAGTGCATGGCGATGGAGACGCGCGATAAGGAGTATGAGAGGGGGAGGGGGGAGCGAGGCGAGTGGGCAGCACACATACAGACCCATGCACGCATGTGTGTGTGTGCAATGCAGGCCGCAGTTAAGCAGATGCAAATAAATTTAAATAGTTTATTTTAATTCACGCTTCGGCTACAAAAGCCAGCGTCCTCCATTGCCACAGCAACAACAACAACAACCACATGAACGATAAAAACAACAAAGAAAATAAGAAAAAATAGAGGGAGTGTGGGGGGAATTAAAGCTCTGGCGACTTGCGACTTGACTCTCCGCTCTTTTGGCGCTCCGCTCTCCACCGCATTTTTCTCGCTTTGTGCTGTGTGCTCCCTTTTTGTATTTTTTGTGTTTGTATCTTTTTTGTTTTTGTGCCTCGGCGTTTCTTCTCGTCTTCGTTGCGAATTTGTTTAGTACAGCGTCGTTAGTTATGCCGTTTAATTTAGTTGATTAAAGCGTAAACGTAAAAAAGTAACGAAAACTTAAGCAAAACAATGTTAATAGTAGACACTTAATGAAAATGCGTAAACTTAATTCCTAGCTCTTAACATTTGTCAAGCCACAATTAGTCAAATAATGAACAAAGAGGGGAGAATAACCATTAACACAAGTTATAAAAACATAAAAAAATCAACCTTGTTTCATAGCAAAAACTCACCCAAACACACGTACACACACAAAACACAAACGTTAAAGAAAATTCTGTAAATTTTTTATTGTTTAATTTATAAGTAAGCAAGCGAAAAAGAGAAGATAACGATTGAAAAGAATACGCGGATTAATTCTTTTTTCTATTGTGATATAAAATGTATTGTATAAAAAGGAAAACATAAACACAAGCAAACAAAAATTAATGCTAAAACAACAATTACGTAATTTTATTTAAGCAGCGGCAAGCGGAAAAAGCGAGGATTAAATTAAATAAATTAAATCTAAATAAATATGTACAATGTTATGTTAAGTCTGGATTATTCCTACGATTCTCTGTTTTTCGATTAGTTAAATGAGCCCGATTCGATTCGATTTTGTTGAACTGCAATATACCGAATGCCTTAATATTCCTTTTGCAAGCTATATTATTAACTATGTTGATTCTGAAAACCCCCTGAGTTTCGATTGTGAGTTTTCTCTAGATCTAAGTTATTTCGACAATTGATATTTCTGTTTTAGGAGGCGAAACCCCCAAAAAATTTGAACGATACGATGACGTTGGCGATGCTAAAGATGAAGAAGGAGAGAAAATAAATTAAATATGTATAAAAATCAAAAACAAATGCCAGCGATTTTATTGATTGCACTGGGAACTCTGCTGTTTATCTTGCTTCTCGGCAAGTGCGTGAATGTAAATGTTTTGTGGGAAATTTATTTTATTCGTGTGTGTTTCTCTGCATTTTGTAATGAACAAAGGGCCCAGCACTAATGCAATTGCAATGAAATGTGCAGCCAGCCAGAGATGCAGATGCCTATGTATAAATATACATACATACGCACAACCAGATATATAGCAAATGCGGTTATGCAACGCACACACACACACGCACACTCGACCGCCTATATACTGCAATTATTTATATTGCCTGCATTATGTATAAGCATTGATGCATTTACAAACACTTGCATTTATACGCACACATAGGCGCAGCTCCATATCCCTGTGTACACATAACGGTTTTACTTGCTTGCTAACTGCTTAAATTTGCATTAAATGTGCGTATGCATCAAGAGCCTGTGTGTGCGTGATTATGTACACAAAAACGCACACTTACAAAGGTACATACATATGTATGCGTACATGGGGAAAACCACCCAATCGGAAATTTTATTCAATCGCTGGAACCCCAAAATTAAAGCTTTAAATAGCTCCGAGCAGATTTGTCCCCGACCAGAAACTCGGATTCGCAATTTAATGCAAAGATCCGATTTGCCAAGAGGTTTTATTGATGATGGTCTGCCATCCGAGGAATCTCCACTTGGTTTCCCACTCTTATTGTTGAGAAGTTGAGAATAAAGAATGTCTTCAATTGCAGTTTAATTCCTCGAAGTATAAAGGATACTTCATTAGAAGATGAGAAATCCTGGCAGGTTTGTGTTAAAACAATTGGCTCATCGATGCTAAAGGGTTATATCAAAGTTACGTTCTTTGGGGATATGGTATAGAAGAATAGTAATTCATTGGGGTGTTATGGATACACATACGTAGTTTCGGATTACTTACACTCAAAATAAATTTTACCCTAAATTTTAGAAAATCGCCATTAAAATTTCTTTTTTCTAAATACAAGAAAGGTTTTCCTAAATCTAAGGAAATTTTTCTAAAATCAAGAAAGTTTTTCTTAAATCAAGGAAGTTTTTCTTAAATGTAGAAAATGGTTACCATGAACTAAAATCGCCCTAAAAACTAGAAAAAATGCCCTTAAAATTAGAAATTATTTTATAAAAAATAGAAAGGCAAACGAAAATAATAAAATATTTTGGCCGCACCTTTTCTAAATATGAGTGCCCTAACCCTAAAGAAAAGTTCATATCCCAAGTAACTTAGTTCCTAATCTCAAAAACCGATAACTTTTTCTAATCCATTAAATAAATTCAGACTTGGAAAATCCCTTGTAGACCCCTTAGCCCTTATTCGGTGCCATGTAAATCCCGGAAAAAGGTTGGGTATTTCTAGTGTTATAAGCGGGACTGAGCCGCCCGTTTAAGTTAGTTTTACTTAAAATTCAACTCACAAAACCTGACTTAAGCTCTCGGCGACCGCCCCATTCCTCCTATGCTTTCCTAGTCGAGACCTGAATCGGTGTGGTCTCCATCGCAGTCTCAGTTTCAGTTTCTATTTCTGTTTTTGTTTTTGTTTCTGTTAGTGCCTCAGCTGCGACTGCGATTGCGACTGAACAGCGGAAAATGCGACTGGACCTGGGAGCTCGGTCGTGTGCCGGGCAAAATGTTGTTTAACCAACATTTGCATTCTATGAATTTTGAATTTTCTGAAACCGAAACGCAGCCGTAAGAAAGCGTCGAGTCACGACAACAACGACTATACGCTATGGGCTATCCGACGGTTCCGGGGTTCCGGGGTCCAGGCCCTCGGTTCCACGTTTCTGGGGTCCATGGGCCTGATGTCAGACTTTTCGACTTGCCTACTGCTTATCTTATCAATGCGTCGACGTAGGCAAACAAACGGAGCCACCCCCCAACGGGCAACCACCCACCGAACGAACGGGCCTCATCACTTATCGGTCATGGTGGGTGGGAGGGTTTTTCGATGGGGGGTTTTGGGTACAAGATTCCGGGGAGCTGCCATTGCATTTGCGTCGTTCAGAGGGGACAGCTGCAATTGTTACACGGAAAAAGGCAAAACAATGGCTTGTCATTCAAATATGTTTCTTAATATTTTCATTTTCATCAGAAACTTTTTTAAACTTTGCTCAAGGGTTGCTTTTTTCATTTTATTTGGAATTAGGCTTTGAGAATTATGCCCAAAAACTTACTTGAAAACCTTATGAAATAACTAAAAAAACATAACCCCTTTTATCTTTCATAGAAAGAAAAGAGGTTTAAATCACAATTTTTTTCTTAAACCCAATATTCGAAATTAATTTGTGTTAAATTTTTTTTCGAAATCGTGTCTCTATTTTTCCTGTGCGTGGGGCCTTCTTAAGGGGGGCCTCATTAGCATGGCCGTGGCAGTGAAAGCCGTCGAGGGGGGATCCTGTGTGCCGTGTCCCGAGTCTAACTCCCATTTATCAGCATTTTCCACACACTCGCCATGAGACGAATTCCAAAATCGATTCGACGTTGCTGCTGTGCTTTGCCCATGTTGCTGCTCCTGCCACTGCTGCTTAAACTTGGCCGTAATGTCGCACAGGGAGTTTGAGACTCGACGGCAGTCTGGCATCCAAATGTGTTCCTTCCACACACACAGGGAAGCGGCACGCACACACACACACGGACGTCGAGGGGAGAGGACTTCGTCGAGCAACCCTTCGCACATTTCCATTCCGGTCCCTTTCGCTGCGATTCGTTCGGTCTAGCGCTTTGAATTCAAACCCCCGTTTTTTCAAAGGACTAACTTCAAATGCCGAAAATAAATGCCCCCCTCCTCCTCCCCCCTGCCTTTGCTCCCTCTTCGCCAAGGGAAATGCATT